AACGTCCTTTAGACCTTAATATCTACATTAGTATCGCAATTAAACGTTGATTATTAAAAGGCGTATGTAATAAAGATCAATTTTTGAAATGTAAATCTCTTCCAAATTATTGAAATTAATTCCTAAACCAAGCAAAATCATAAAGAAAATTCGACCTGACACCTGACGCTCCCATTAATGTAAATCTCTCTAAAGTAAAATAGTCTAAATACCTGTTTAAAAAACTAAACTAAAGCGGCACTGCGTATTTATTTGCCGGAATACGCAACTGTTTCTTTTTATTTCTTTTTGATATATTAACACATTTTTTAAAAAACTACTTTAATCTTCTTAGGCTTAAAGCACATTACCGTGATAAGTAACCGAAGCGAGTGCACTTTTATATGGACTTTGTATTGATTTTGATTCATTGGTAGCTAGGCTTACAGTGCAAAACGAACTCCGTATTCTATTTGCGCTGCCTTTTCATATCTTTTGTGACGCTTCGCTTTGTGTCCGGTACGCTGCAGTGTACTAAAGCCTTATACGTATGAGATTACTCTTCCACACGTGAATTGTACTTAAGCTTATGTGCGAAATTAAATTAAATTCAACGACGCCTCTTGCTGGGGGATGACAGAATTTAATAAGAAATAATGGAGAGCTAAGCGCTTTGTTTTATGCATCCTGAATATGAAGCTTGCGCACCAAACAGCTTTTGTCATATTTTTGAAGCGATAAAAAGTCTTAGTACTTTAAGAGCGTTAGCACACCTTTGACTAAACTATCACACAACTGTTTAGTCGCGCGAGCTTATGGAGGTTCGAACTCTACTCGATTTTTGCTCATGCAACTAAACAGTTAAATTGCGAAACAATCGACAATCGCGTAAAAGTTATGGCATAGTTTAGTCAACGATGTGCGACCGCTCTAGTACTTATATCTTTACCTGACTCAAGAGGTTTTTATTGTGACATGGAGCCTAAAGGACTGAACTAATTGCATTTGAAGGATAAGGTGTTATTGGATTCTTCTTTACGAAGAGTCATTTTTTTTTTTAACCAAAATTGTTAATACATTGATTGAAGTTCACCAATTTTTAGTTTAAGCACTTTTAATGTTTGATATAACAACTATGCGTTAGTTTCAATCAATTTAACTTTTGCTCAACCACGATGGTTTTACAACAATTCAACACGCTCGCCGACACGACAGTTAAACTTTCATAACATGGTCAAACTAGTTAATTTTTGATACAGTACTATCAAATATGGGTTTAAAATATAACGCCTCCGTTGTAGACGTTGTATAAAGGTTTTGTATAACAAATTTCAATGGAAACTGTTATTTTTAGAATTATACGCAATTTATATCGCGAAAGTGAAGTTTAGTAAGTGACGTAATACAAGACGTATTCTAAGAATACAGCCATTTAACAAAAAGCAAAGATGAAATGTTGAAAAGGCGAAGCTAGGACTCGGTCGTTGCGCGAACTGTGTTAAGCAATTTAGGAAAACAAGCAATTTTACAACGCAAAGTGGCTGAAAATTATTAAAATAAAAGAAAACAACAATTTTAATAAATTATGCAAGGAAAGGGTTTTACTTACTTTCCGAAATTATGCGACCACTTGAAGTTTGCAGTTTCTAGCACTTTGTTGCTTTCATGCTTTGAATTATTCCCGTTATTCAGTATTTAAAATCAATCTTTCATTTTATATTTAAATTGTACAAACGCGGAATACAACCAAATCTTAAACGCACAATTAACAAGTCGAGACCAGATTAAGGTAATTTTCCGCTTCAGAGTAATTAAATGGTTACATAAACAGCCGTTTTTTGTAGGTTTCTTATAATAAATGAACACTTGTTTACTCTTTACTGATTACTTAATACTCTTGTCGCCGCAAATCATTTTTGGCACATAAATGAATAACTAATAAAAAAAGAGCAGGCGATTATCTATACTAACATAAAAGGACGAAAGAGTTGTATTTTTGTTTGTATTGAAATATCTCAAAAACTACTGGACAGATTTCAAAAATTCTTACACCATTAAAAAGCTATGTTAACACTGAGTAACATAAGTCTATTTCTTATTTATTTTTCAATTACACACAGATGAAGTCGCGTGCAAGAGCTAGTAATTTATAAATCTATATTATAACTACAATCATTTCTACCCAACAATTCTGCAGATGAATGAGTTTGGAAACTCTGAGTTTGGTTAAACAAAGTTGACGACTATGTTCAAAGAGAACGGGAAATTATGTTCGAAATACAGCTCGCTCGTCGTCATTAGTTTTCAGCTAAATTATTCTGTGCATTGCATGCATTTACCAATGTCTCTCTAATCGGATTAACTAAATTAATAATGAGATAGGAATACTATACCATACATGGATGTAACAAAGCGTGTAATTAAAATGGGATCATGTCATGCAGCTAATATTTAAGGATGTTAAAGATTGTGAGTGAAAGCGGATTATACTTATACGTATTAGTTAATAATGCAGTAACTATAATAATATAATTAATCATCTTTAGGTTGCTAAAAACAAAAAATACGCAAAAAGTAAAAAAAAAAAGTTACGCAATCCTTTGAGGACGGATTTTGACATGAAGCAATATGAGGCTTAAAACCTAGTCTGTCCCTGTGATTTGGTTGAAGCCTTAACAATACTAAGCTACAAAGATCTTTATAAGGGACCATACGAGCTTCCAAAACCAAGTCTACAACAAAGGCGAAGCAGAAAGGGCAACTGCCGCCACTATCGAGAATCAAAATTGTAAAACAGATATACATATACACTAGTTCTAAATACTAAGACATCTGCAACCGCAATGAATCTACATAGATTAGTGTAAACTTTCAAACAAACTACTTATCAGTATTTTATTAAAAAAATTGAAGGTAAGTTGATAAGCGTTCCCTTGCTCACTGGTTTTATATGCTCTTCGTATACAAAAATTACATGAATATTTCTTGAGACAAACTTTCTTGAGACATTATCTTAAACGAATTAAAAACTGCTAAAACTCACGTATGATTTTCCGATGACTGCACCGACCAGTTTTGGACTTGTCGGTGGTCCATCTTCAGGGCGAGTGCTTAATTCGCTAGCTTCGCGATGGCGTCACGCCTCGCACTGCGGGCCAGAGCGCGGAGGGCGCGACTCAAGGGGACGGGTACGCAGGGTGTGGCTGCTTCGTGCGTCAGCGACGGCGATTTCGACGGGCTCAAAACCGTTTAACGTTAATAATAACAGCTATTCAGAGACACGACGCGACCGCGAAGAAAGCGAATTATTGCGAGCGAAAGTATTTGCCCTGAAGATGGACGCCCACAGGTCCGATACTAGTCGGTGCCGTCATAGGAAGGTTATACATGAACATCGTTTAACCAATAGATTATGCTGTACTAAAAATTATAGAAAAACGTATCGTAGGCAAATGTTTTTTAGTATTTACATTAAGAAAGGTAAAAGATAAGTGAAGGATGTATATTATCCAGTTAATAGTCGTTACATTATGGCAAGAAAAATACATAAATACTTTATATACTTAAAGAGTATCATATCTCATAAGTTAGATTTGCTACTTACAAAACATCAGGTATAATTTCTATATCCGCTTTCGACATAAGTGGACCGTAAACTTTCAAGGTAATGTTTTTAAACGATTTAAAGAAACTAATTCGAACAACTATTTTTAGACCGGATTACAACATTTCCTTGAAACTGAAACATTTGAGCGAGCTAAACCTAACGAAATGTATCAATCATCATTGATGATGTATCATCACGGGTTTTCGTTTAATTTAGATCGAGTTGTGCAAAGAAATATTTTTTGTATACTTATACATATATATACTCGTATATATACTTTTTTTAATATCTTTCTAGTTAACTGGAACATTCATTTAACCTCTAAATAAGAGTTTTTATACAAGAGATGTCATTTACTAGTGCAAACAGTTGCCGAGTAAATGAAATATGGTTATAAAATGATTTTCCAGAAATTTAAAAAATTCAAAAGTTAATTAAAGTCAATATTATGATAGTACGAATATCTACTCAAAGGGGTTTATCCTTTTGAAGCAAACGCTATTAGGATTATATTGGACTAGCACTATTGTTTCAGATTTACCAATATTCAACACGTTACATGGAACGTATATCAATTAGGAGCTTCATTCGCTGCTAACGTAATCCCATCTTCTATATACACACTTATATGATACATAGATAATTCGAATATACGAAACATTACAAATTAAAGCATACACTCGCATAGAGCATAAACTCGCAAAATAAATAAATAGCAACAGGAGATAAATTAGCAGATTATTTTCTATAACAAAGTTGCATAATAAAATACTAGTAGTCGTTATCTTGAATGTTACAATAACTTTGAATTTGTAATCATAAACTAAATATGAGTTTAAAATCTTCTCTAGAAAGACTTATATGTATTATTGTTGAAATTCTATTTATGGTACATGAATAAAATGTTAGATATAACGCCCATATTAACATTTCATAACGCTCAGCACTTTGAGAGATCTTCATTTATTAGTAAGCATTCAATAGAATAGTTTACATAACAAAAGAAAATCACAGAAGTGTCACAAAAAAACAACAAGAAATTACTTATAAAATGTTTTGTTCAATATATTGTTTATCAAATAAGATAACTTCTACACTTCTTTTATTTTGCCATTTAATACAAAATAATAAGATATTAACGCGCTCAAGTACATCTCAAAGCCGGATGGACATACGCTTCAGTAACTTTCGAATATATGGAAGGAAAAAAATATAGGTTAATAAAGTAAGAAATATTTTCTACAGTGGGAGCTACGGGATGGCGCGGACAACTAACAAGCAAGAATCGCATCAAAATATACTTGGTATTTACAGGTTTCGACGAAAGCCACGTAGTATCTAGTAGCAAGGCCATATGCACCGTGGAAGGCAGGCGCCTTTGAAAATTATCTACTTAAGTGTAAGTTAAGCTTACCTAGCAGGGTGAACTTTCGAAATGGTTTAGGTCGCGGTTTGTATGGAGTCAGACCTCGACACAAAAAGAATATTCTAGAACCTCGCATACTTTTCACCGAACGGCCAACGTTCAATACCGACCACAGCTGAAAAAGAAACAAAATCTTACGAATTGTACTAAAGGCATATTTTTTAAAATACCTGTAAATCATATGTAACTTTTTCTAATTTAATAATAAATAAATTTGTTTGCAATTAAATTGTTTAAACGTTAATGAGACATTATGAAAAACTAATTAATAATTAACCAAGTACAAGACGACGCGAGTGTTAGGCTAAATATAATAATAACTTTGTTCACGATTTTAAAATCCGTTAACACCAAGCCCGTAGACACTCTACGAAATGCGTAGCGAATGATTCTCGTAGCTGTCATTCTGATTTGAGAATTGAGAATAATTTTAAACTGAGATGATGATGATAATAATATGTTATTGTACATGTATTTCCACAATGAAAAGTCGTGATCGCATTAAAAACTCAATAAAAGTGGAAAAAAAAAACATCGTCGATAATAATACTCTCTTGTAATTCAGAGGCAGAACAAGGCATGGGCGACTTGGGCGATTGCCTCCAATCCCAAAGGCCTCGCTCTTTGAAATTATACCCGTGGAAATATTGCCACAAAAATAAAAATAAAAGCCTGAACTAAACCAACGTCTACGATTGATTTAAATTAAATAAATAAAAAATGATTTTTCAATCTTTATATGTATAAGTATTTTTTATATTGCTTTACAAATGCTTTGAATTCGAAAGTTTGGATGTATGGATATTGTACCTCCAATAACACAAAAGGTATCTTAATAAAATTTGGCACATATGTATAAAGCAATATGGAAGAACACGTAGGCTATTTACTAAATTTTATTTTTAATTTATCAAGCACTATTAGTACCATTTTGAATATTACGTAGCTGTAAAAGCACGTTATGGAATGAAGTTATGAGTGTAGCAGGGTATACCGGTGAGGTAGACCTAAAAAGAGATGGATGGATTCCGTGAAAGGTGACATGATCAAAAAGGGAGTGATGACTGAGATGACGTATGATAGAGTTATTTGGAGGGCAAAAACCTGTTGCGCTAACTCTACGGGAGTAGGATAAGGAGGATGGTGATGGTTTGAAACCTTATAATAGTTTTACTCGTATATTAGATTTACTGATACCAATAAATATACTATCAATATTACGTACTATATCAAATTTGCCAAAAAAAATAGTTTGCCGCTTAAAGGGCCTCGCAAAAGGCAACTTGTCTGCATCAAATTTAGGTCTCGATTTTCCACTAGACAGATGACATGGAATTATCGAAATGAAATAAATTAAATCAAGGATTAAAACCTATTGCCGCTAATGAATGTTACAAAAAGCGCGCACGGGCTTCTATTTTCGTCAACATTTCGTCAATGCTAATTGGATTTATTGTTGATGTTCGTTTGAATTTTATTTACCTTCTTGTAAACGAGTTGTTTATTCTACAGGTTAGAATAACCTTTTGCAGGAAAAGTTATTTAAAGCAATTACTGTGAAAATGAAACAAAATTCTATCGATATTCGATCTTCTTTTTACAACAAAAATGATGAATCACAACTTCGTTTGATCCAATTCCATAGAAAAATTAACTGAAAATGCCAATTCCTTTCTAATTGAACTTATGACATATTTATAACTAGCGATGACGCTCAACTTTGTCAGCGCTGAAGCGAAAGCGGAAGCTCAGGTTTTTTTTTATTTTGTTTAAAAGCAACTCAGATCCAACATCGTATCTACGATATAAGATTATTTTTTAAATTACAAACACTTCAATTTAATCAATTGTATATGTAGATAGATAATTATTAATGTGCCCTACACGATAATTTATAAAATGGGACATCCTAGATGTTTTAGACGTAAGATGTATGCATAATTAAAATACACGAAGCGATGAATAAAATTACAATACATTATAAGTAAACGATGAAATTCCACTGATGAAACACATCTACAAAACATATTGTTATCTCTCCATTTCAAATAGAGTGAGGGAGAGGAAAGACAATATGTTTGGGTACAGGTGTATCAGCGGCGAACCGCCCGGTAACATATTGCTTTATGATATCATCTTACAAATAAAAATCAATAAATCTGTCTGCGCATAACTTGAGGAAGGCGCCCACTTGACTTAATCCCTTTTTAATTGCTCTAGCAATTATAAAGATTATACATTTTTTATAAGAGATTACATTTCAAAGTACAGTAAGTCAGAAAATTTGTTGCCATGTCCGGAATCTAATAAGAAAAATGAAGACCAGGTCAAACAGTAAAATCGAGAGACCCCTTGGCAACAGCCACTTTTCTGTATAAAATGTAAACGAATAATTTAGTTTTAAATTTTTAAGTAACATATATAACAAATAATTGAATTATATATCAAACAGAGCTTTCTGTTAAGCTATACAGGACGGATATAAGTAATAAAAAAGTTCTAGTTTTCTACATTTATGTCTTCAAATGAAATCACAGAAACAAGGATGACGCGGTACGTAACATTCAACAGGTAGTTGGACGTGTAACGCGGTTCTTACTTTCTTTCGTCACGCGGCTTTGCTCTACATCTCACAAAAAACTGAACACCAAAACCCAATTTCTTCTTAAAATCTCAATAACAAATGCTATTTCCAAAAAAATTACATATTTCTACACTTTCATAATACCGCAAATAACAAAAGTATTTGCTATCATTTTGGAAAATTGTTCGAGTTTAAACTAGTGCGACCTGAATATTGTAAACCCTGGATTCAATTCGAACATCAAGCTATACAAAAACTATGTTCAACAAATTTATTTAGTAAGTTATAAAAATAAATTAATGAGATCACGTAAAAAGTTCATACTAAACCGTAAATAACGTAGATAACTTTTTTGTTTACAAACAAAGCTTTGCGTCGCACTGTTTTAATATGACAAATCATTTAATGACAATAAAATTTTACATTAAACACTCATACTCCAAGGTAAGTAAGGTTTCAAAACACCTTAACTAAACATATTAATACACTAAAAAGTTACTATTTTCACTTCACCAAAGCTAACCATATGGTACCGAATTTTAGCGCACAGAGACATTTTTAGAGAAAAATTCCAAATTTTTTTTCGGCACGATGGACCTAATTTAACCAGGTCCTTTTCACCAACTTACCTGACCAGGAAATCCATGTGTTAACAGGTAGCCAAGGCAACAAGTCGTTGTGTTTTTCCCAATTCGCGTGCGGCGGCGGCAATAGCTCGTCCAACACACGCGACTGAGTCGCGCGGAACGCAAGCGCGAGCTCCCTCCTCAACCCATCGATTTTCAAACACTACCTCATCGCTCTATTTATAAAAAGAAATGCCAACCTTCTCATCTTAACACTTTCTCAACTAGAAAAATGTGTAACAGCCATATTATAATTTAGGTAATAGCGACTATCAAAACATTATTTAAAGAGGCGAGATTTGAAGAGACATTTATTTTTTTAATAAATTCAAAGAGGGCATTTTATTCAATTTTTAATAATTTAGCATTTATTTACCTTGGTAGAACTTTGTATTTATATTAATTTACTATTTTATTTGAATGAACAAAGAAATTTAATTATAAGGCGTGCCTGCCACCTGTTGAATGAGACGTGTTAGAATATTGATTTTCATACTATGGTTGTACATTAGTTATGTTGCAGTTGCAGATTTTTTTACAGTGTTAAAAGTAAGAGATAAACTTTAAATACAGCTAATTTTTATGAATTATCCAAATAAATATTAATCGACTATTAAGTGCTATGGCGTTTTCGAAATGTCCTTGCCCTTGACAAAACGCTCTGTCTCCAAGTGACTCAGCAATCGTCTAGGAGGAGTTTCCTAATTTATTCTTTTTTTCATGTGAAATTTCTCAGTTTGTAACTGAAAATGATTTAAACAGATTTGTTTATATAGGTATGCTCTTTTAATTTTATAATGGAAAGAAAATTGATTGAATGGAAAAAAAAATTGTAAAGGTAATTAAAAAATGGAGAAAGGAGCAAGCGGCCACCGGAATTTGCCAATATAGCGACAATACACCTAGTGCCGGGTTAAGCCAGCGCGGGGTCTTCAGCAAATTTTGTCAAGGAGCCCTTGGTTTGCTTTAGGTTTTCAAGTTTCGGGTATTAAATAAAACAAGACCCTTAATTAGTGGTGCAGCGAGGCTATCTTGCGCCTGGGGCACAACAACTTTATGTAGATCTGTCCCTTAAGCTTAAGCGTCATTCTTGGATCACAAGTCACACCAGTAACCTGTCGCTATTTCATCCAACCTGCATTTATCCGGCTTTTCACATCCCGGTCAACGCCACCGTCGGACTGGACTAGAGAACCGAGGTACTTAAAATCGGCGCAGGTTGGTAGAGGCACACTATTTAAGGCGATTGGAGAGAAGCTGGTCGAACCGCCAAAATCGCAAAATAAATATTCTTTTTTGCTCCTGCTGATTTTAAGACCAGCTCCCTCCAATTTAGCTCGCCATTCTTCCAACCTGCTCTGTACTTCGCGTTCATCCTCCCCGACAACCACGATGTCATCGGCATAAAGCATACTCCAGGGTGCCTCCTCCTGTATGTTTAATGTCAAAGCATCCATTACCAGGAGGAACAGATACGGACTTAAAGCCGACCCCTGGTGTAAACCCACCGAGACATCGAACCTGTCACTATCGCCAGCAGTGAACCGGACGTAGGTACTGGCTCGCCAGTACATAGCCTGAATAAGCTGCAGGTATTTCCCAGGCACTCCTTTCACCTTCAAAGCCCACCCCAAAACATTCCTCGGAACCCTATCATACGCCTTTTCGAGGTCTACGAACACCATGTGCAGGTTCTTATGCACGCGCCTAAATTTTCGCATAGTGGCAAAAATGGCGTCCGTAGTCCCCCGACCTGGCGTAAATCCGAATTGGTTCCGAGATACCTTACATTCTCCTCTGATTCTTGATCGACCGTGACGTGATAAATAGAATAAAAGCGGGATGGATGAAATGGCGACAGGTCACTGGAGTAATATGCGACCCTTAAATTGCCCTTAAGGGGAAAATATACAGGGCCGTCGTAAGACCTGTCATGATGTATGGATCTGAATGTTGGGCAGTAAAAGGGAGGAATGAAAGGAGACTACATGTGGCAGAAATGAGAATGTTAAGATAAATGTGTAGAGTAACACGAATGGATAAGATACAAAATGCGTATATTAGAGGAAGTTTGAGAGTAGCCTCATGGGTAGAGAAGGTAAGGAGTAAAAGGTTAGCATGGTATAGGCATCTTATGAGGAGGGATGAATCGCATATTACAAGAAGAACGTTTGTTATGAATGTGGAAGGGTACACTGGTAGAGGTAGACCTAGAAAGATATGGATGGATTGCGTGAAAGGTGACATGATCAAAAAAGGAGTGATGACTGAGATGACGTATGATAGAGTTATTTGGAGGACAAAAACCTGTTGCGCCGACTCTACGGGAGTAGGAAAAGGAGGATGATATAATTGCCCTTTTATAGTATATAAATCTGACCGATATTCTAGAACACATAAAAAATATTAAAACACACGGGCAATAGCTGCGCGCGGCCGCACAGTATTAAATGATCGCAATGATATATCATTTCTTTACCATATTTTTTAGCTAACCGATATATTATAGATAATTCATTCTTTGTTTGAAAGCTTGTGATTTTCATATCACAATGTTTAAAATCATTAAAGATTCATAAATAAATAAAAATTTTAATAAAAACGAAACCGACTTTCAAACAAAATACACTAAAAACAAAATATTCTCAAAAAACCAATACACTAAAAGTAACGAAATAATTCGTTGAATAACTTAAACCAAACAATAAGGGATTATTGTAGCTATACCATAATTATTAACAAGCTTTTGCCTGCGACTCCGTCCGCGTGGAATAAAAAAACAAAAGCCTATGTGTTTTTCCATACTATCCTCTACATATATATATATAACTTATATATATATACCAAATTTCATCAAGTTTCGTTCAGTATAGTTTAGGCTACAAATTCTAACAAACATCCATCCATCCATCTAGTTTCGCATTTATATTATTAGTATGATTTGAACGCACGAAGAAAAATTAGACGTGAGTAATAGCCGTTAAATAATTAGTTATAGAAATGTCTCATTAAAGTTTAAAATATTTAAATAATGTCAATTGAATGTCAGAGTTTTGACAATATTTTAATGTTCACTGCGCATCATTACTTTACTCATTTTGTGCTTTAATGTTATTCAATGAAAGCAACATGATAATAATGTTTAAAAGTAGTTTGTTGTTGTTTAAAATTAGTGTTAGGGCTGTTTTTTTGAAAGCTGGAAATTTTTTATTGCGGAAAAGCAGGGCGATACAGTAATTACACTTAATATACAAATAATCGTGTGTTTGTTAGAACGGGAATGTTGTACAAATGGTTGCACACCATTTAATTTAAGAAAATGTCTAACTGGCAATAACTCACAATTCGAACCATTGGGTGTACTACATAATTTCTGCTATGCGTTAATTGTAAACAACAACAATCATTCATTAAAATTTCTATTTATCTTAAGACACGTACTAAGTAAGACAATTGCCATTATGTTAAAGCTATCCCCCCACCCTTACCTTCTATGTAAAGGATAAAAGTTTGCTACAAAAGGCCTTTAAATAAAAAGTCTTGTCGCGATAAATGAAGAGCATTTCCTTGTTATTTTCTCCTAATCCAAATTAGTCTTTTTTCAAAAGTCAATTACCAAGAAAACATTTTTATATACGATGAAGAACGAAAAGAGAAACACGAAATATATTTAATTTTTTTTCTGGACCGCCATTTTGTTTTAAATTTATTTTTAAGTAGAAATTTTATTCTGCGAATTTACTTAATAGATTACGTGTTTTCCACTATTAAACGATGACAATTAAAAAAAAATGGCGGTGTCTAAAATTATTTTGTGTAGAAGGTAATTTATTCTATTATTTTATCTACTTAATAAACGTAGTTAGAGTTATTTTAATTTACAAAATCACATACAAAAAATCAAAAGACAATAATTTCCTTAAAATGTGGGAATTTTACTTTGCTGGTAACCCTAGATGCTCATAGGCGCCCCCCTGTCAATGTCAAAAAGGTGTCACAATGTCCTTGTGGACTTATATAACATAATTTGGAGTCATATATACCCACCGCACAATTTATTTGTCTGTATGTTTGACTATATGACAGATATAGTAAAAAAAGGACATCGGGACCAGTAGGCAAAAGTCATTTTAAATTATGATAGCTCTCTAAAGTCTACCTGTCAATGCCAAAAAGTGTCAAAAAGATTATTTTCGTACTGTATCTGTCACGTTATATCTAAATAAGGGTATTTTACAACTCTCATAGAAGTCGGTAACGATAGTTCATAACTAGATAGAGCATATTTATAGGATTACAAAAAAAACAATCATTTGACTTTTCAAAGTCAAACCAAAAATGAAAAATATAGCACATTTTTGAAAGAATGAAAGTTAATAGATGTTTATTACTGGTATGAATGTGCATAATCTACATGGATTTCTTTATTATTGTCATCACGTATTCACGTCTAGAACCGTCCCTTAATTTAATCAATAGGTAAATAATAATTTTAGTTCGGTAATTTGTTATGATCCATAGTTCACAGTAATTCGCTATATGCTTATGTTCGTCACTATAATACCCCTCTATTAAGTACGGTGTTTAGCTTTATATAAAATTCGATATTTTATATACGTAATTAATCAAACTAATCAAACTTTATTAAACAAACTGTAACTCGGTAAAATATCTGCAGCTTTAAATGTTTTGTTTACTTTTTAAAATGATTTAAATTACATGAATTTAAAAAAAGATAAATAAAAAAAATATACTAATTATCTTTTTTCTCCGCTTTGTCTATACTATTATCTGACTCTGTGCCGTGTATTAGAAAAACGGATACGGGTATTTTATATACTCTATGAAAGGCACGGGTGATGTGATGTGTCTTTTCTTAACTGGAATTAAAATAGCTACTTTATTTCTTTAGTATTAGAAGTAAAGTTCGCGAAAGATTAAAAACGTCTAATAATTTTTTTGAAAAATAAAGTTTTTGTAACTTGAGTGTTTTATTGTTACCATTAAATAGAGTGAAATTGCAAATATAATAGTTACACAAGAATCAAGTGTTGGAATTGTGTTCTATAGTTACGCTATGGAGTCCGAGTCCGAACATCAACCGAAACTCAGCCCTATAAGGGCTTTTAGACGTATGTACATCCGTTTAAATTGTGTTTATATGATGCTTATTACCATAGTTACGGATAAAACTGTAAAGTTTAATAGTAGTTATATAAAAAATTTCCCTATAACATTTTAAACAATATTAATTAGCCTATCATTTATAAAACCATAAAGAACGGTGCTCAGACTTGTGCGTTGTAATTTTAAAACCACACCACAAAATTGCGTTAATGGCCGACAATGTTTATGAGAGATTGTCTCGACATTCGACATTTTGAAAATAATTTCAAGTTTAAGCACGAGAAAATAGCAACTATATACTTTACTAGTTTTTAATTCTGTATATTTTCTCTTTTCTTTTACATTTTATATTATTGTTTCCTTATTATTTTGTTATGTTGAGGAAGGTGCTAATAATTGTATTGACCTAATTTTGTTACACAGTACTGCATAGTGGTAACATGGATCCAGATGAAAATTATACAAGCCTTTCTGAATACCATGACTATGAACCTTGCTTGGAATTTGATGATTCAGAATTAGTTCAAAATACTGGTTTAGGTAAGTCCCATTGTGTTAGATATATCTATAAGTATACCACTAGTCTAAAAATTGCGATAATTAAATGTACAGTGTTAAAAAGACAATGGAAAAAATAAACTGGTCATTTATACAAGTAGTTTTTTTAACTAAAATACAAACAAGTAAAGTATTTTTTAAAGTGCCTAATTTGTTCCAAGCCTCACAAATCAGTGTTTATTTTTATTATATTAGATTAAGTTTACAACTGTCTTATCTTATGACATTATCATTTATATTTCTATTTAATTTTCACTTTTTCTATTCAGTATATTATGTTAAATGTTTCTGAATTTAGATTCAAACATGAGCTACCTTCATTTCAGTCTTTACAATAAAAAACAAATACTTTCATTTAATGTGCTAAAATACCATGTCTGTTATTTTATGGTAAAAAGTAATCTGTCACAGCAATGTGTGTCTGAGTTGAGTTATAAGATTTTGTACAAGATATATATATATACATAAACTGAAAATGTCAACATATAGCTGAATAATATTGTTTTTTTTAAGATGATTTAGTCATTTAGAAAAATAATGTATTTTGATTGTCTTTTTAAAACCACAATATTAATCAGCTCTTTATCAACATTAGACATGTATTTGAAGTACATAGATCTTAAGATTTGTCAAGTTTATAATGTTAAATTCTAGTATTCATTACAATGTAGAGAATTTAGCGATGACAATAATAATAGCGAAATCCAATTCAATTATGTATGGCTGCAGAAGTAATAAGTACAGTAGAACTTCAATAACTCAAACCTTGGTAACTTAATAACCTCTTACAACTTCAAAAAAACTATATTTTCATCAGGGCCCAAACCTCTGCAATTTAAAATACGCAACCTCTTTAACTTAAATATGTAATCTCTGTACTGGCCCTCAGTAACTTAAAGAAATGTTTCCACAACCTCTATAACATAAAATTGTTTTTCAATGTCAAATGTCAAGTCATTTTTAATGAGTGAGCAAAAAAGGTTTCGGTATTTATTGCTTGCACGATCATTTATAGAGCAATGTAACGACATAAAAGATAATGTATTCTCCTCTCTATTTGTCATTGAAAATCAAATCGATTTAGAAACTGTGAGTTGTTTAAAACAAAAGAAAATCAGACTTTTTTAAGTAGACTGGACCTGCAATGTGCAATGTGAATAATTAAATATGATTATTTAAATTTCCGTATCTATCAATTCTTCTAGCGCATTGGAGTAAAAATAAAAACAAGGGTTCATACATATGTACATGCCTACCTCTATATTAACCTATCACTAAAGTAGACCCTTGATAACTTAAAACCACTATAACTTAAAATATTTTGTGTTTCCCTTGGACTTGAAGAGGTTCAATTGTATTTATTAACTCTTATTATTAGTTCTGCAGGTCATTGTTAATTTGAGAAAACAGTAATTTTTTTAATTCATAAGTTATAACTATGTATCTATTGATTCCAACTTTTTAAAGAATAAAAATCGAAAATATTCATGCATTATTTTACACAACCCATCCCTACTAAATTGTCAAACTAATCAATCTTAGACAAACTATAAACATAAATTTTTGGGTGTGGTGGTTGGTAAAACTTAGGTTATTCTAGTAAATCTTAGAACTCACCTAAATTAACATACAGTCATTTGCAAAAAAAAAACAACCACCTACGGTTTCCACATGTAATTAGGTTTATTACATTCTTTGACTAATTCGTCTTGCCATAATAAATGAAGAAGAATGAACGTCGCCATTTTTATAAATATGGATATGTTTTGTAACATGGGAGTATTTCGCAATAAGTTGGGAAGTTTTTGCTTCAGCAAATTTGTTCATAATTAAATTACTCTAAGTTGTTATGAGGAGGGATGAATCGCATGTTACAAGGAGAATGTTAGTTATGAATGTGGAAGGGTACACCAGTAGAGGTAGACCTAGAAAGAGATGGATGGATTGTGTGAAAGGTGACATGATCAAAAAGGGAGTGATGATTGTGATGACATATGATAGAGTTATTTGGAGGACAAAAACCTGTTGTGCCGACCCTACAGGAGTAGTATAAGGAGGATGATGTATGATGTCTAAATATTAGCAGACTCCATGTCAATATCAAGAAACTACCATAAGATCTATAATTAAGGATGATAAATTTGACAATATGGTTAGATTGAGTAAAATTGAGTATAAATATTTTCAGTTTTAATCATAAAAGAAACCTTCATTCAAAATAAGAAACTCTCTTTAGTGGTTAGTAAAAGTCAAATCAATAATGACATATCCAGAACATATACTTAGAATGAGAGCTAAAAGATATGTTTTTCTTTTAAGGTCATGAATAATCTAATTGGAATACACACTACTAGAACTATACCTTAATTGAGTATGAATTCTCAGTTAGAAAACACAGATAAGTAAATTTTGTTTGATTAATCATGTTAAGACCTGAAATTAATCACACATAATTTACTATTTTAATACTACTACTGTTATAATTTACTTATTTACTATACATAGTGAGTAACTATGAACTATGGTTTTAACCATAGTTTGTAGTTACTTACTATGTGCATATGTTTCACCACATAATACCAGTCTTTTAAATATTGCATTTACCCATATACACACCATATACATCCTTAAATAGACAGACTATAGTGAATTCTTATTGTGACACTTTAGACATAGACAGGGAAGCGCTAGCTGAGTAGTCTTAAGTTTGAGTTATGTCCATCTACTGGGCCAGATATGCTTGTCAGGCCGTAGACCTTTTGATGGTAATTTTACCCAATATCATTTTTATTACAATATTGATACAAAAACATACAATTGAATACAACCCCTTTTCATATATAACAATAAAATTAGTTATAACCTTTTAAAAATCACCATTAACAGTTTTGTAACAACAATGAAATAAAATAGTGTTCTGTACCTTTTGGGTTTTAATTCGTATTAGATAAATACGATAATAAAGAAATAATTAGTATTTTCACACAGGTTCGTTACTTTTTATACACTACGATATGCTGTTTTCTTAGAAAATGTTAATATTAGTAATTATAATTTGCTTTAGAAAAAATAATTTTTTCCCGCGATCGACAATAAAACTAACCGAGAGCCGTCACATTGACACATGTCAAGTATCTTTAGGGATGTGCTGCTTTCCGTGTTCCTTATCATTCACTTCTCATCGTCATGCCGAAAAAGGCGCTAAACTGAAAAAATATTTTAAAAGTCAAACATTCTTTTGAAGAACGAATACAAATTAATGGGTCTGTGGTATAGTTTTTTAAAATAAAAGTACTCGTATAGATGTACATGATTCTTTTGGCACCCGGCAATAAGAAGCGACATTTAATGTCAGGGTAATAGTGACATAGCTTGTCAGTTCACTTCGCGTCATTACTTTACGCATTTTGTGTGGCTTTTCAATGTTATTTCATGAAAAGAAGTGATGTGAAGTGTTTAAAAGTAGTATCAGAGAGGTTTTCTTCAAAGTGGGAGATATTTTTATCCCTGAGAAGAAGAAGGGGGGTCCAGTAATTACATTTGAAAATGTGAATCATCTTGTGTCCAATCAGAATTTGTTACCATTTGTTAATCAAGAAATTCCCTAACTCTCAAGTAGACGCATATTTTTAGATTTACTATTTAAAATAAAAAGGGTATATACTAATTGACTTTAAAATATTTTTATGAAAGTTGTTTTGTTTCCTATTTCAAATTGTAGTGACCGACCCTTTATTGTAACGTGTTTTGTGCACCTGGAAGTATGGCCCTCTTGACATAAAGTTCATGTTTACTTACGTAGTAAGGAAATTACTGTGTGTACTCAGTAAAGGATCAAAAACTAATTATCTGATAATTTTAAAACGCACAGTTCAAACCATACCACATAGTTGTACTGTTCATCATCATCATCATCATCAGTATCAGCCTTTGTTTGACCACTGCTGGGCATAGGCCTTCCCCAATGCCTTCTACTGTACTATTCGTTGATTATAAACAACAATCATTACTATTATGTTAAGACTGTTCCTTCCCTATCTTTCTCAAGAGAGTGCATTGCTAAAAGTTTGCTACAAAGATTCTTTAACTATAGAGCCTTCTAACTGACAAACGAAGTCTGGGGCATTTTTTAGTTACATTTTAAAGTACTTCCTTTACAATTTGCGTTTTAGTTTTCAAAAGAAAAGAATTTCCCTTTAATGCGGACATAATACCTTGCTGGTAACCCTAAATGCTCCGACGAGCCATCCCGTCAATGTCAAAAAGGTGCCACAATCAATATCCTTGTGGCACTATAGCTTATTTGACGGTCGTCGATTATTTTGGAATTTTAGATCAATCGATTTGCCCGTATTCAGTGGGTATTGTTAATGTTAAGTAATGAAATATGTATCTGTATAATTGAACAAATATTATATTATGTTTTTGTATTCAATAAAGGACTTCAATATGTTTTAATTTCAAATTCTTACGTAGTATAGTTCCATTAACAAATCAAGAAATTTGATAATTATTTAAGTAATTATCGACAAATTTAGTCCCATAATAGAATAGATTATATGAAATAAATGATATCACGTTTATTCTACATTTTTAGCGCCATTGCCGCCGGAATTATTAGATATACCAGATGATTTTATAGATGAAACACCAAGTGATGGAACCATTGAGGAGAACTTTGAAAAAGAACTTGGTAGTCCTAAAGTTTATGCAGAGGTTAGATATGATTATTTTACATTAATTATTTAATAAACAAAATAACAGCATTAACTCTACTCAAGCTTTATATAACTATAAAAAAAATGATTGATCCTAATATACTTCGTAGTGAAGTGTAAAAAAAAAAAGAACGCGACCAATGACAACTGCACTGAAATATAACAGAAATTAAATTTCTTTTTGTTATTAGATTGCAACAACTAGCCAGGAGTATGACTACTTTGCGGAACTTGCTAGAAATGGTGCAATTGATGTAGTAGGGGATGATGAAGTTGGGCGGCGCATTATCGTTATATCTGCGTGCAAACTTCCCGCCAGCAAAGATTTGCACCCGGACAAACTGCTAAGGTGTATTTAATTTTATAATCTGTTTACACTAAGATTATAAGGAGGAATGATTTGTATGCAATAAATAAACTCAAAACTATTGGACAAAAAGTCTTTTGTTTTTATAGATAACTTTCGTCCGCGACTCCGTCCGAGTGGACTTTTAAAAAAATTTTGCGAGTAGCCTATGTTTTTCCAGATTGTCCTCTACATCTATGCCAAATATCGAGATCCGTTCTGCCGTTAAACAACAAACATTCATCCATTCATCGATTTAAACTTTCGTATTTATAAATATTACAATAATTAGTAAGATTAGCAAGTTTACAGTTGCAATGTATAACTAATCCACATAACTGTAGATTAAACAAAAGGTAATCGAAACAATGTATTATAACGAAATTTATAATTTCACAGATATTTGATGTGCACATTGGACAAATACGTGGAACAAGATTACAGCGTGGTATACTTTCATCACGGTCTTACGAGCCAAAACAAGCCTCCTTTGTCTTGGCTGTGGAAAGCTTATAGAGCCTTTGATAGAAAATATAAAAAGAATCTCAAAGCTCTATATTTAGTTCACCCAACAAACTTTATTCGTATTGTATGGCAAATGTTGCGGCCCGCCATCAGCGTCAAATTTGGACGGAAAATGATGTACGTGAATTCGTTGCAAGAGCTCCAACAACACTTAGGTTTAGAGAAAATACCCATACCAGAACAAGTTTTGGAGTAAGTTGCTTTATTTTTTTACAAAATCTTTGTAGAATGTTGGACAGCACTATACAAGTTTTAGTGCTACTAGAGTACTCATGGCGCTATTTTTACGGCGCCCCCTTTTTTTAATAGCTTTAGGGTAAGGGTATGATTATGTGATAGTCTCACATTGTAACCTGTGACGCCCGTTTCTTCCAACGCCCTGGGCGGTAGCCTAACCGCCCTTTTCCTAAATCCGGCTCTGTAGCTGGACCCTATAGCGCAGAGCGCATGTCTCGCCCTGAGGGTATATAAACAATTTGACAGGTGCCAATAAACTCATTCCTCTGGTTTATTTGCGCCGAATAAAAATCATAACACCATACTACCTGTGTATCATTAAAACAGAACAGTAGATATTGGTAAGTTTCTTGGAATTGTGAGTGATATTTTACTCTTATTTAAGGTTTAGTAATACGAAAAGACGAAATCAGGCTGACCATACTTGTTGCTTTAGAAAAATTTAATCGACTTTCATAGACAGCCATATACATATTGATTTTTAATTTTCGTGTCTCATCTGTTGATTTCATACAATGTTCCTTTAAAATCATTTATTTCCCATATTTGTAGAAATTCGCCTTATATTTCACAAAATATAACAAAAAACAAAGAAGTAGGGAAATAAAATAATTTTGCCTGTAACACATTTCCCCATTTATCATAGGAGGCAGAGCCTCAAGGATTATATTGTATAGCTGATTATATCAATAAAGTGTTACTTTTTAATAATTTAACATTACTTTTATAGGTACGACAAGATGTTGGCAAGCAAAAATCAACGTGGCGGGCGTCGCAAAGAAAAGGATGGTGGCACAACATCTGGAGATGAAGGACAGATAGTGTCAAAGACAGGAAAGTGCGGTTTGTCCCCACCTGCTACACAGCAGTTTGGGGTATCTCTACAATTTATAAAAGAAAATAATCCTGATATGGTGGAGTCGATCCCTCCTGTCGTACGACAGTGTGTAGAGTTTCTGTCCCGACCAGATGGTAAGCAAATACATTTACATACAAATTCAAACTGCGATACATGTCAAATGTGCCAGGCTTTCTTAATGTACTTATAGTGAGCAAACCACTCAATTGTAATAAATATAATGAGTAACAAATATCTTAATAGAATAAAATATTTGAATTTATGCAAAAGGAAATAATGCTTCGATTAGTCTTTTTAGTAAATCAAAAGTGATTCACTGAGCAAGCTCCAAACTTTAGTGAAGAAACTAAACCATTATAAAATACTGGTTCCATCTTCACTCAATTCACTTCTATCTTATACATGATTATTCTTAATAAATATCTTAACATTAAATGTCCTGCTGTTTCCCTGCAAAAGAAAAATGTTAAAAACAAAGTCAGGCTTCAATAAATTATCTCAATCCATCCGATACATTTACTTTGAATATTTTTGGTTGGTGATTTTAATGTTCACATCTGTACTTAACTGTATTTAGGAAAAAAGTATAATAATATAATTGATAGCATTTAAATAGAATTTAATTTATTGTAAAATGTTTTTTTACTAACACCAATAATTCTAATTTTAGCACTTGAAACCGAGGGATTGTTTCGGCGATCTGCCAATGTGACCGTGATAAAGGAGTTACTGAGGGCCTGCAACAGGGGTGAACCTCTAACATTTGACGGAGAACCACATAATGCTGCAGTCTTGTTGAAAACTTTCCTTCGAGACCTTGAGGAACCACTAATGACATTTGAGCTATATGATGAGATAATCAAATTTCAAAGTAAGTGGTAAAGCAATTTACATTTAATTTTATTTAAAATTAGAACTTTGTGTTACTATTGAAGTGGCTATTAAATAATTTTTATCTTTTTGAAGATATCAGTGTGTAAAATTTTGTGAATATAATATGACTAAGTGAAATTATTGAAAATGAATAACAACATTATACTAAAGTAATAAATAAATAGTTTCTACAGACAAAGTAAAAATAGGAATGAATGAGTGTTTAGTGCTCTTTGTTCACCAACTTGACATTTGATTTGAAACAATCAATTTAGATTTTATTATAGAAATTAAGGGATATTTATAAGAATTTTGCAGTAATCAACTCATAATGTTTAAAAATGAGTCTCGTAAATATGTTTAGATCAAAGTTCATTTTACAAAAAAATCTCAGAAATATGTTTAATTTTTTTAAGTGTAAAGTATTAACATTGGTTGAACTAAGCAGACATATATACAGACATATCGAGATGTTAAGAATAGTTCAATCATTCCCTTTCACAGTCTGTGCACACTGCATCAAGTTATGTCCTATGAAGTTATTGATTAATCTGGCACGCAACATAAACTAACGACCTCGTTCCCTTTATGTGGCCTATATTCCTAGATTCGACTAGTATCACATTAAAAACTGTTTCGATTTTGATATTCAACTTGACTTTTCATATTTCTCAACTCTACTACCATTGTGTAATGTAATTAAATGCAATAAGGTGTTTATTTCTTTTTATTGTTTATTTTAGCCTGGTCTCATCAGGAAAAGTCACGGCAAGTGAAGTTTATGATCCGAGAGATGCTACCTCTCGATAACTACAAGTTACTGAAATATATAATTCAGTTTTTGTGGAAGGTGAGATTTATGAAATCATTACATAAATCAAATAAATCTAGCTTCATAAGCAAAAGACTGAACTATAATTCATATTAATCTGGGCACTTCTAAAGGGATAAAAAATGTAATCATAATGAACAATTTAGTTTGCTTAACTACCTTTCTATGGATTGACGCTATCTTTCTTTTATTAATCTATTATTAAGAGTATGTTAATTATTTTAGGTGCAAGACAGGAGTTGTCTTAATAAAATGACCAGCAACAACCTGGCTGTAGTCTTCGGCCCCAATCTGGTATGGCCTCCAACAGGGCAAATGACACTGCAAGCAATTGCTCCGATTAATGCCTTAGCAGACTATATATTGGAGAACCAGGAGACAATTTTCATCATCTAATTCCTTTCAATTTAACCCAACGAATCTGTTTTACCTTTACTTCGAATTATAGTGTTAAGAATATGTTACAAATATATGTTAACTGCCTTAAGGCAATATTTTCTCCGTAAATTTAAATATCTCAAGTGTCAAATATGATACCTAAATGCCAAATGTAATTGTACCCTTAACTTAAATGACATCTTGATGATTTTGTGTATTAATATTTATGTTATCCTTCTAGTCCAAAGTTACATTTGATGTTAGTAGAAATATTTTAAGTGAAATATTATTGATGTTAATTTAATATAAATAATTTTATTACATGTAGGAGACATATATTGTCTATTTTAGTAAATAATGGTATGTATTCTAACATCGTAGATGCTCCCAATGTACCTGCAATCAACAAAGTGACCTGGCACTTGTCGATCAAATCTAACATCTTGGTATTTAAAAAATGTGGTTATTTTGCATGAGATAATATGTTAGGGATACAATCCTCATATTGCACAAATTTAGAAAATATCACATTTGTACAAAGGACGCCATTAGTATACATCTTTTAAGCTAGTATCATCAAGGAATTCTATTCTCTTTTGATAAACAAGAATGGGATTTGAAAAATTATAAATTTTATTTGAAGATGATATATGAAAATATGATTCAAATATGTTTAATTGGTAACATGTTAATGTTGTCTTTGTCTAATTATGTAGTACTTTATGATGATAAAGTTATTCCAATGAAAATTAGTCGCAACCGAAATTGCTAAAAACACAAACATCAAATTTGGTGCCATTATTAGAAGTTTTGTAAGATTTCATTTTTTCTGCATGATCTTCCTATTAATATTTTTAAAAATACATTTATTTTTTATCTGAAGAAAATAATCAGATAATTACCTACATATCTTTTTAAAACTAGGCCGTCTTTTTAAACCGTCTAATATGTTATTTGTAAACTATATTATGAATTAAGAGTATGTATGAAAATGTAAAAATGTATACTATGTATGAATCTCCCAAACTTATCATTCCATTTATAGTAGATTTTTACAAAGGTATCTTTTAATATAGTCATATGTTCAAATATTATTATTAAGTTATTGGATGATTTTAAGAATTAGAGATTATTGAATTTATATTGAGTCAAACTGCTAAGTTCCAATCTGGGCCTAAGTCAGTGAAATTGTTTTCATTTTATGAGTAACAAAAACAAGTTTTATATTTAAAGACCCCTAATCATGTGGATTTTTTTAATGATACTATAGAAAAAAAAAACGCTTTTTTTACCATCTTTACTACTAGAAAAAAGTAATATCCCACCAGTTAGTAGATATATGTCAAGTGGAAAACCAAGATAAAAAAGTTGGAAATAAGATACTAACCTACTTCCATTAACAAGTAGTTGTACTGTCATTACTGTATCTTCCCGTGCTTTCTTAAAGCCTGGCTGTATAACTTGTTCTAATCCATTTTTGTATCTCAATGTTTAAACTTAAAATTAAGATATTATGAGTAGTAATAAAACCTAATTAGCAAATAATCCTTGTTTTATTAAACCCTAATTTTTAAATTCCTCACATTACATAACACATGCTTCTCTTTCATACTTTTCTATCAACCATGTTATATCATTCACTCCCTTCTTATGTATCTATTATATAGTTTATCCATATTTTCTATCTTTTCCTTTGGCGCCGTTTACAATCATTCTCAACTCTCGGTCCATACCATGCTAACCTTTTGCTTCTCAATTTCTCGAGCACTGTTAAATTACTTCTGATAAACACATTCTTTACTTTATCCCTTCATACATCACACCAGTTATGTCCAACCTGCATTTATTGTTCTTTTTATGTCTTGGTCAAAGCCACCGTCTTACTGGACTAGAGAAAAGAGGTACAAGGTAATTTGAGAGAAACTAGATCGCTAAATCACAGAATAAATGCTCTGTATTGGACTACTGATTCTAAGGCCTGCTCCCTCCAATTTAACCTACCCTTCTTCCAACCTGCTCTGTACATCTTTAATCCTCTTCAAAAGCATGATGTCATACACCAGGGTGCTTTATCTTGATTTCTTATGTCAGTGAGATGTTGCTTGTTGTTATAGGTTATCAAATGTGCATATTTCTTTTGTTAAAAAGTATTCACAACTGCCAAATCATATGCAATAGTTGCATCCAGTAAGTACTCTTGTTCAATGTTTTTTACCCCAAACCATTCCAATTCCGTAAGGAATATAAGTATTATTAACTGGTCTTAAGCATACCAAAATGATTGTTGGATTTATGCAGAAATGGAAATCCATTGTCTTCTGGGTCACATTTGTTTTCATCATGTAATAGAAAAACTTACTTGTAAAACATAAGACAAAGTCTCTCATGAAACATGAGAAACATGATTATAAGTAATTCCAGAGACAAAGTACTACTGAGTTTCCCTTACTATTAATGTCACTAATAATAAATTCTGGACTGAAGGAAATGAAGGCATAGAAACTCTAAAAATTATGACCCATCCCTACACATCCAAATCAATAGTATCCACACATACCCATATACCATCTAGATGTAGAATTGATAGTGCTACAAGTAGGAATGGTCCAAAGCTACAAGATAAAAACGGGACATACCTAGGGATACATAATACAAATAAAATTTAAAAATTTCTCCATAGGTAACAGACAAACAACTGACGATTTGTCCATTGGTAACACAAACAACTGACGATTTGTCCATAGGTAACAGACAAACAACAACTGTTCTGTTCCAACAGACGGACATTGGTTATGAATGTGGAGGGGTATCGGTAGAGGCATACCTAGAAAGAGATGGATGGATTGTGTGAAAGGTGATATGATCAAGAAGGGAGTGATGACTGAGATGACGGATGATAGATTGCTTTGGAGGACGAAAACCCGGTGCGCCGACACTACGGTAGTAGGATAAGGCAGGGGAGATGATAATAAATTTGTCCATAGGTAGATTGTCCCCTACAATCAAAATGGAAATAAAAAATTGTAAACAAAAATTGTACTTTACAGAAGAGGGAGCCTAGAAAGAGATGGATGGATTGTTTGAATTGTGACATGATTAATCCTTTAATCATGTCACGTTACTCCTGTAACAGCTGATAATAGAAGATAGAATAACCTGGATCATGAAGACCTATGGTGTTGACTCTACGGGAGTAGGATAAAGAAAGGAGATGACTTTCTTTATGGAGTTTAGTCTTTTTATATTTTATTTTTATGTACACTTTAAAAAAATGGGCAGATGAAATGTCATTCTTACTCATAAGGATTATCTTTTGAAACAACTTGTTGAAAAAATAAAGACAGCTCTGTACTCCAGTAAGCCTTTATAACTTCAATACATATTTCAACAATTTTCATTACAGAATCAGTTACAGTTTTATTATTTTTACAGTAAATATGTACTTCTACTAACTGTAATATGTACTTCTACTATAAATCTTATATGTAATAAATCAGTGCAAGACTGGACAACTGTAATAAATATGACTATTAGAAATATCTATATAAAACAATCTATGAAGTTATAATTTTAATATTCTATCTATATAAATACATGTATACTAAACCAACATACAACTTAAAAATATTATTAATACAATAAAAATGTCTGTAGTCTCCAAATATTTGGTGCGTTAAGTAATTCCAAAAGCAGTACCATTTTTAAATTTCATCGCCAAGCATCTTTTCAGAAAGTACCTATGTAATTTAGTTAGGTTTTCAACCGTTTTATCAAGTTTCTATGTTTATTTTTTCTCTTTTTTGTGGTAAAGTGAAAAGAAATGTTAATCTTGGGGCAAATACCAACACAGTTTTCTTCTTATTAAGAACGGAAATCGTGTCCTTTTTTTATTTATTGGATCTGTTTATCATTCTATTTACTAATTCTGTGGACTTAGACATAAGCCAGCCTAAATAAAAGCAATGAACTCATGTTTACGCTTATCTTGCATCTTTATAAATATTTTGCAGATTTCATGAATATAATATAACATGCATTTTAATTTCCATAGACTAAGAATATTACCATTTGTCAATTATATACAGTCAAAACAAAAAATGTTGCCCTATTACAATAAAATTCTAAAAAAAAATACTATGTTTTTTAATCCGTTGAACTTTTCAATATATTTTATAATTCAATTTTGGAAATAATAAGGTAGACACATAGGTATAGGAATTACATCTCTTTTAAATTTAAATTTATTACTAGATACATAGATTTCAGAAATGTGTCGGTGTCAGTCCATGCAGAACGTATAAGAAAAAAATTATTATGGGTTTACCAACCATAGAACTCAAGTCTGAAACACGTTATCTGTTTGTCTGTGTGTTTGTGAGCGGTAATCTCTAAAAAGCACCGCTGAAGAATTATCTCAGTTGTCAGTTCCTTAACCTCCAAGAGCCTTAGCACAAATAAAATGGTCAGTTTCCGAGATTTCGATAACTTAAAATTTTACACATAAAACGTTTTATACAAAAGCTAAACTGTTTTCAATGCGAAAAGATTTTTAATGCATTCTGTAAAGCAACTGTGGTTTTTCACTACTTTTAGATGTTGCAGATGCTCAGTCGACTACGGTTTTGATGGACAACAGCAAGACTCGAGGCCTTTCTGTGCTAGAGGCCGGCCGGGAGGCAGAGTTGCTTTTTGCGTCACAGCAAACGGGATTACGGTGACGTCTCGTCTCATGGACTTCTGCATGACCCAGGAGAGACGGAACTCCCTTCGTGCCTTTTCATATTACAGAAACTCAGGACTAATCCTTGTTGCTGTCCCAATCTCGGGTTTCCCGACATCGCTTGAATAGACGAACCGGCGTAACCCCAAGGGTCCCTTGGTCCAAACCCAAGGGGCTACCGCTGCTACGGAAGGGAACTATTGGGCTGGCTGCCCAAGGCGCCCTGAAGTAAAACTTCAGCTTCATTCATCACTTTCGCACTATCAGCGATCTCCTTATGGATTGATCATTCCAATTTCCCTGCCGGTTCTTGCCCAACCCTCTGGATGAGGATCCGACGCTCCACATCCCACGCAGGGCTCTCGGTTAGCGTGTCCAGCAAGGGACCCCGGTCCCCCACACGAAAAAAATGTTGCCATTTCAAAAGGAGGCAAAATGTGTACCATGTGTACTTAATAACTAGTAACTCGCATAACATGTTAAGTTTACCTCAAATTCTTAAAAAACTACCCTATATTATGATACCATTATGACGACTGATACATAAACAGTGGTGCGCAGCAAAAACGTGTGAAATTTCAGATGTTACAATTTAAATTAGAGTAATGTAAACAAAATGAAAAGTAAAATAAATAATTCATTTGATATCATTTATAGTCACGGCATCAGTGCTACCATAATGTACATTGAAATGTAGGTCAAGTATTGATCTGTATATCCGAGAACCGGCGGCGAAGCTTTATATGCATACCTATATAAATACTGTAATTGGTGTTGTCAGCTTCTAAGTGAAACATTTCATGAAGACAAAAGAAACATTAATGTTTTTAATGATATGTTGCATGATCTAGGGTAACATTTAACTAAGACCTACAATATATTTAAATGATATGTATTGTACAAGCATTTTGTGGTTAATACGAAGAGTAACAAATACTCCTATTTAACTTAAACCTACTTATATTATTTGTTCGATACCACCTATACCTACTTCAGGAAATGCAATGATTTTGTTAATTTAGTTTATGTAATTAAGATGAACCCACAAACTTCTAAAACACCAAATAACATCTTTTACCTCTCAAAAAGTAACCAAAACCCCAATTATTTTGTGTATCTCGACTGAAGGGGTACATGAAAATTAAGAAGCATAGTATCATTAAAACATAAATACATATAGTTTAATAATAGTCTAGATGTATAAAACCGTATTTGATTGAGCAATTTCGGAAATCGTGAAAAAGATTTATACTAATAACACTATCATATTTGCAGTTTCTATGTATTCTTATTATTACTTTAATCTCAACAAACTGAAGTTACTTTTTATATCTAAATTATTTATTATATCCCTCTGGATCGTTAATAGAAATAATCAGTAGTTTCTTTTAAAAGGTCAGAATATTTATTATGGCAACATTAATAATTTTCTCCACGGCGAGCGCCAGCTACCGGCCATTTTCAGTACATGTTATTGATATCTCTCATTCTCAGTTCATGTAAAATTTGCTTTAATAAATCGTTCGTTTTGGTGACAAATGTGATGTTTTTCAATATGTGATCGTGTTTGTTCTAACATCAGCGTAAACGTATTGAAAACTTTGTCTCAATGAATGTGTTATGCAGCAAGTTCATTTTAAAACTAATGACATTATATGAACTCGATGTGCTTTTTGGCCATTTTACTTGGCTTGCGTTGGTGATTCGTATATAGTCACGTGACCAAGTGGATTTTGGATCAATGGCGCCAAATGTCTATAGCAGAAAATGTATGTAAAATGCAATTTATTTTACATAAATCTTTTTTCACAGCTAAATATGTAGTATGCTTCTTCGTTTCATATCTATATAAATATAAAGCTATATCTACACCGACGAAAGTGATGCGTAGGAATAACGTCAATCTGGCAACAAAACAGTGCTGCTATCTATGTTGTCAATTTTGTTATGTAGTTTTAATGGAGACTATCCGCGTAATAAATATTCACGGTATTGATGTTTAGAGGATGGAATTCCAACAATTTGTGCCCAAAATTTGTGATGGTAATATTTAGAATCCTTAAATCATAGTTTCCGATCCGGGCGGCATTCTGAAACTACGTTGTTGGTGCCGCGGATATCTCGGTCGAACAAGAGCCATCCATGGCCCGCCATACATTTTATTCTTGCAAGAATGAAATGTCAGATGATTATGTTTAATTTTAGTCGAACAGTGTTAAAATTGAGTTGTTAGTGCCTTTTATCGTGGTTATTTTTATCCGTTAGCAAATAACAATAAGGCCACTTGATTGTACCATAGCCACCTGTTCTTAATCTTTGTAAGAATCGGTATTGACGTATTTGTTCAGAATATCAAAAATAAACTTTTGCAGTAAATAATATTGATTATAGACATAATAAGTGTGCAAAAATTCACTATTGCAGATTTCGCCACTTGTTTGTAAAATATGATGTATACATAATCTATGTTGTTTATGCACCTGTATTGATTTATGGAACCTGTGCTCTTTAACCTTTCATACTTACTCCTTCTACTTATGTGATCAATATTGCATATTTAGGAAAATGGGGATTTTGTGGAAAGGTCTTGTTTTGTTTTTTTGTGATAATTGATTGTTTTTAACAAATAAGCATTTCAAAAGAAAAATTATATTGATGTTGCATCTTAAACTGGGAATGGTAAAACAGTTTTATGGCCAATATTGAATCAATGCAGTTATTTAACAGCATCTCAAGTAATGTCATATTTAAACATAAGTTTCCTTTAAAGTTCAGTTTGTAAGCAGCACATATGAAGTGAAGTGTGAAAGAAATGTTTATTTGATTTAATATTGGGCCCTTAGTTTTGATATGCATACAATCCTGGGTATTTATGACACAAATTACAAAAAAATCAAATTTTTTTAAATCACTTAATAAGAAGCTCACATTTGCAGGAAATACAAAAATTTATATCTTTATTTAGCTAACACATGCTGTATTTAATTTCAGGTTGCACCAGTTACTATTGTGTGGATACAATCTAAAGTATCATCATGTAGTAGAAGATGTGACATTTTACACAATGTTGCTACCACGTTCTAAGTGTAAAGATTTAAGAGTATCGTGAACATGTAGGTTAAGATAAAGACTAATTGAGATGTCGTTACGAGGCACAAAGAGGGCAAGTGGTGTGCGCAGTGAGGAGACGGGCAAGTGTAAACGTCGTAGGACAGAACCCGAGGACGCTCTGTGGCAGCTACCGCCTGTCAGTGACCTCAAGATGTCATCAATATACAACAGAAGTGCTCCTGAAGCACCAGCTGAACTATTCAGGTTTGTGGGCCATTTTAATTTTAATGAAAACTTATTTATGTGTAATTAGATATGTTTACATGTTGCAAAGTGTAATTGTCAAACAATATTATTATATTACTATTAATAATATCACCAGCTGGGCAAATTTTGTTGAAATGTACAAAGCTTTTGCATTATTGACACTTTAGATTTTTTTACTTGTCATTTATGTTTCTTTTTATAGTATCATTTTAGACAAGTGAAAGAAGATCACAGTGTTTTTATTTGGTTTATATTTTTTGGCTTGCGTTTTTATTTCATAATTGTAACTTGCTGCAGCTATTACAAATGAACATAGTATGGGAGTACTGTAAGAGCAATGCGAGTTTACATCATCCTGTGATACAGAATGCTCGTTTACTGCAATTTGTAAGCTTCAACTGCTGTGCTCATCAATGCAAAGAATTATTATCAAAATTCTTTAAATGTTTTTCATCTTTCGGAAGTGTACATTTTAATTTACTTTAATTTAATTAAATATCTTTGGTTTGGGATTTGCCCTCACCAATAGGCAGCGCATGAATAGTAAAGAAAAAGCTCATGTGTTCCAGCTAATATTTTATAGTGATAACATAATTTTAACGTTTTTAAAAAAATACACTAATAATTGGACAAAATGATCTTTTATTTTGAGGTTATCAGTCATATCTAAACATATTGAACCACAATGTAAATCAAGACATTGTCTATTATTTAAAATCTCATGATTACATATAGACTTTAAAAAAAAAAATGGCTGCAGCAATTGTTTATTTATTTATATTTGGTTATGTATGTGCCACTTTATAATCTTACTTCTTACTAATATTTTAAATGCGAAAGTTAAATGGATGGATGGATGTTTGTTAGAGTTTTTAGACTAAACTGCTGAAAGGGTCTTGATGAAATTTGGCATGGATGTAGAGGATAGTCTGGGAGAACACATAGGCTACCTGTTTTTGTATTTTTGAAATCCACGCTGACGGAGTCGCGGATGATATACAGTGTAGGCTAAAAGGATTTGAATCTTAGTCGTGATTTTTTTATTAAAAGAAACAGTAAAATTAAATACACATGCTATACCGGTTTCAATTTTATTCATTTAGTAATTGATACAACAGAGGTAGGCAGAGAATTTTGAATCAATTTAGTGCAGTTTTAAGCATATTGTTTCTAATTGTTTGAAATGTTATCATACATTTAATAAAAATAAAGATTTATCTTTGTTAACATTAATCCCTCTTCAAGTCATATTCCCTTAAATTTTTACTTGTGTCAGATTGTAAATGGCACTTACAAATCAAATTGTTTAAGATTCATTTCAGTATTTAAATGTAAGTGTTTTTATAAATTTACTAATTCAAAAGCTCTGTATAACTCCTTCCATTTCGCATAAGATGTTTATATACAAACAATTATATGTAACTTGCGATGTCAGCTATGGTCTTATTGCTCAACCATAAAGTCCCACTGCAGAAACACCTGAACAAAATGAAAATGTTTCTCTGTTTTTTAAAATCATAGGAGAGATGGCAATATGTTTTGCACAAGTGTTACGGCAGTGGGAGCCTATACCAAGGTTTGTGTTATGGTTTATCCTATACTTCCTTAGTCATACTTTTAGCTCCAAGAGCTGACTTCACTTATGATTTAATTTAAAGTTAACTAATTTAAAGCTGCCAAATACAAAGTATTAATTGAATTTGGACAGTTCTTTCAGAACAGTTATTGAACAAATGGCATAATAAGAGAAGTATATTAAAATAGATCATTGAATAATTATTGAGAATATGTTAGTGTTATTTATATCTATAGTGGCAAATTGCAATTAAAGTATTAAGTTTGGAGTAAACTTTAATGTATTAGGTCTATCTGTTCGGTTTTAATTTTTTTACGTAATTTGTAAATAAGTATTTGACCTATCTGATATACCATTATTGGGAGTCTAGCCCCATATTCTCTAATAAAATTGTAGTTGTGAATAATTAAACATAATACAATTATAGAAAAAGAACATTGTCACAATTTAATGTCTAATTACACTCCATCTAGTCATAATTAAAGCAGTAAATTATTGATTGACGGTCAAGGTAACATTTTGCTAGGGAATGTGGGGATAGATAGATAGATAACAATTGACAGTTTTTGCTTGCAGAACTGTAATGTACCAAAATTGAGCCATAACTTAAATATTTTACCCATAGTCATAGAAATGATTTTGGACATTCCATTAATGGTGACTGTCACAGTAAAGTGTGATCATATTTAGCACTGTATTCATTGCAAAGCTTAGCCTTTGAATAAAGTTGCTGATTTCTAATGCAACTTAGTGAAGAACTTAAGTAATAATTTGTAGTGAAATAAAATCTTAAGTAATTTAATGCAATAACTTGAGTCAATTAAAAAGTGTATTCAATAAAAGTTAAGCTTTGCATAATATTTGTTTACAATGCTTTAGAAGCGCATATTTTCATAAAATTCTTGTAATGTCATATATATTAAATAACATAATATTGCTGTGCTGTTGTTTTTGAAGAAAGCTACTATTTCCTATATTATGCAGTTTTACTGCGTCATGTATATAATATAAACACTACCTTTAAATTTTTAGCTACTTTAGGAAATTTTACACCAAATAGTTTAAATTATAATAGATGTATAAAATGAGTTAGGTTTGTACATTTTGTACATATAGGTGAAGTAATTCGTCACCTATATAAACTTTTATTTTGGAAAAGAACTATATTCAATAAAGTTGTCTGTACATCAGGGGCATTTTTGAAATGTCGGTTTTCTTTGTCCAAAAATCTGTTTAATCTGTGAAATCTTAACTGCGTAATAAACTAATGGTTAATAAATTAACAAACATAATTATTTTTAACAAATACAACCATAAGTCATAAATTTATATATAGTGGTCATATTAATTGAGTATTAAGTCTTTCTCAAGATATATTTAATATTTATTTTTAGAATAATGCCTTGAAATCAAAACTAAATGTATGTCCAATCTAGTTAAAGAAGGATATCTTGCCTAGACAGGAAGACCCTGCTAATGAGTTAAGTTCTATCAGAAAATATATGAAATCTGCATGGACATAAAAATATGCAAAAAAGTAAACAATGTTATGACAGGATTAGTAAGAAAAGAATCTTGTGATATTTAATTGTCATTGAAAAGAGGGTGCTATTGAGATTATAATTTAGTTTTACTTAGTAAAAGGTATCAGGTCTGATTACCTTGTGCGTCTAAATTATCATCTTCTTTCTAGATTTGGTTTTGATTTTTAACTTAAAACAAAATATTTTAATTATTGTTTGTATTTTGAACTGATTTTTCACAGAAGTTTTTCATGCCGTTTCAAACAACTTACTTTGATTATTTATAAAATCTGTTATATTTACCGACACATTCTATTTTTGTTTCTAAAGCTGCTGTACAAATCTTTTTATGGCTCAACACTTTTTTTTTTGTGAAATGTCAGTTAATTAATCCACTTCTAATGTCACATTACAAAGTGTTGTTGTGTTATATTGATTACGATACATAAAATAAGTGAATACATCAAACATTAGCATAATAGATGTGAACTTGTATAATTTAAAATTCAACTAAAAAGATTAAATGTGGATAAAGATATGTATCGCGTCAGTACATTGACTTATCTTATTCTGACAACTTAAACTAATATTTCAGAAAAGATCTCATCAGCGCCATGAAATTACCTGATTCGGAACCCTTAACACCAAGTGAATACTGGATCATTACCGATACCTGGAAACAGGATTGGGAAAGAGGGGTGCAAGTGCCCGTCAATCCAGAATCACTACCAGCTCCAAAGGTCAAAGTGATTGAAAATCCTTTGCCTTCAAATTTTGAAGAATTCAAACTGTAAGTTAACTCAGATTTATGATTTTAAGTTTTCTATACTACTAGTACATCACCACTTAACATGGAGTTGCTTTTTAGTCAAGTAGTTTCTAGTTTATAAAATCTTCCTCGTGTTGATAGTATACATAACAAATTTGGCCAAAAACCAGCTTAATGTTAAGCAGATTTAAATGAATTACATGAACAGTTCCCAATTCTGTTGTGGAAGTTTTGTAAACTTATTAAGCAAGTTAACTATGTAACATAGCATGAAAACAATGTACATACAAATCTATCCAAATATAAAACCTTTGTGGCTTGAAAAGTGATTACATTGCTACTCTATGAAATTAATAAAGGTTTTCGAAAAAATCCACAGACCAAAGGACAAATATATACATTTGTCACGAGACGCAAACTACCAGACAGAGAAGCATCACCTTAGTGCGACACCAGCTCTTGCTGAGGCGGCATGCAGCTATGACCTCGACGCAACCGACACCGCATGGCTCAAATTACTGAATGCAGAGCGGGCGAGAGCTGGTGCATGTGCTGTTACCGAAGACCAATTAGAAAAGGTCATTGAAGATTTAGAGGTAAGACAAAATTTACTTGAGAGAATCAACCACTTTTTTCTAAGCTTTCATACTGTGTGACATAAGCTATTTTCATATAGTAGTTACAATCCTGTACATTTTCTTTATTCTTATAAATGGGTACCAATGAACTACACCACCACTTGTCTGGCATTACCTCATCCTGTAACTACTTGCTGAAGAATAAAGTCGTCCACAACCATCCTTCCGACTTAAGCAGCTTCCATCAAAGAAGCAAAGGTACCATGGTAGCGGTAATTGTTATCCAATGTCATAGACATTCATTGTTAAATCCTTTTGAATTTAACATTTCACAAATGTAAATAATAAATCAGTAATTAGTACTAGTATTTCCATTGAGTGGTGATATTATTTTTCTAATTAAGAAACTTTGCAGGTTTTATTAATTGATATACCTGAGGCCTATTATAAAATAAATGTTTTTGAAAAAGTAAAACAAATGCTTTTTAAGTTTCTTTTGGCCTTTGGTTTTTTATATATATATATATATA